GGACAGTGCGTGTCGCACTTTGCGCGAGGCAGCGGGCTAATGATTTGCTCAGTGTTGCTGCTAGTCATGTTGCGCGTTTGCGGGCCTATGATGCTGGGACTGAGGCGCCCGCCAGAGTTTTACGCCAGCATGATTATGCTAGTGGTGGGGCTTATTGGGACGTTTACCGAGCACAACTTTCTGCAAAGCTCGTCGACTCCTAGCGAGGCGTGGTCGCACAAGGACTTGCAGCATACGTCCATTGGAGTGTTGTGGGCGGCCGGTGGTCTGTTGGGAGTGCTAATGACATGGCGCAATTTCCCGCAAGACCGTACACCGATTCCATCAATTATTTACATTGCAACCGGTATCTCAATGATCATTCATCAGCAAGACTTGCAAATGGCATCTCAAGCACATTTTTTGTTTGGCGCATCTCTGGTGTGCTTGGGCGTATCGAGTATTTGCGAGATTACACTACTCGCCTCGGGGTACGTAAAGGAGCACGGCAGCCCAGAGACCTTTCAGTATTTGCCAGCGTACTTTATGTGCTCATCTGGGATATTCTTGATGGGATCGAACCGCGACATGATTCTGTTCTTGATCAATTCGAAAATTGATGTCGGCACATACGCACTATTGCTGCTGAGCATGTGCTTTGTAGTATTTCTGTATTTTTGCGTGCTTGCAGACCTTTATCTCGCGCTTTGTCGACGCTCCTCTGGCGCAAAACCCGGCCTGTCGAGAGCGGCGGCGGCTGTTTAGGCTGGAATAAAGAAGCATGATAGCATGGGCGACAATAGTAACAATAACAATAACGCCTCTTGTGTTTGCACTAGTGTTTGCTTGAGCAATTTCCGTCCTTGTGGAGAACAGGAGTGCAGTGGACAATCCAAACACCAAACACGCAAAGCAAAACAATTGCGAGGGAAAATACAAGTAATGACGCCCATTTTCGGAATTCTGCAATGATTGTTCAGCTGAATCTCGCAAAGTTTCTGCGGCTCTTGTTTGCTGAACTGGAACAATGGTGAAGGCAAACAGGAAATTGAAACACGCTTGTCCTCATGCGGCTTGCCGGACATGCATGACGATGGACACATGCTTGCTGGCACTGCCAGCATGTTATTTTCTTGTGGACGGTCCAGCTAATGTCATGCCCGTTTCGGCAACTATTGCTATTTCCCCTACTCGCGTTGCCTTGATTGGGTTTCATTCTATGCAAGGCACCCGCCGCACAGGCTCGCTGGCGTGTGAATTGTCTGTATTTTGTTTTGGGTCTTGAGCGTACAGTTGTTATTGTTTTGTATTTTTGGGGGAAGGGCAACTGAGGTGGGGAGGATAATGGCTGGGGTGTATTCCGGCGGCTGCATGTGCATGGCGACTGCCGAATGTATTCAGAAGCGGGTGGAGGAGTGGTGTGCAGGCTGGGAATGAGACACCGACATGTCATTTGGTCTTGCGCTATAGAGATCAAGAGGTGTGGGCGTGAGGGTGGTGGGGGAAACGCAGGAACAGGCGGAAGACAAACAATCTGGTGGGCCATGCCCGTTGAACAAACGCACAGAAAGCTGAACAATTGCTGCCTCGGAAGAGGGGACGGCCCCATTACAATCCGAAGCGTCATGGCCCTGGCTCGCTCCGATTGGGCCATGCGTGTTCCTCGCCACAGTAGTGGCGATTGAGTTTCTGGGTTTGTAGTGGATCGAGGGGGTCCTACTATTTCTCGTTGGCGCGCAGCCTGCTTCATCCTCTGCCAACCGCTGTTCTCTGCCTAGCTGTATCTCGTCCTGCTTCTTTTTATTTTGCCTTTTCGGTTGCGGGTTGCATCATTCTATCTTTTCCTTTATCTTGGAACAAACTCTCTTCACGAGCGCCTCATTGCGTCGCCATTCTTTCACCCGTTGTTTTTCTCTGCTGATATCCTTCTTCAACTTGAGGTAGGTTCAGATTGATTGTGTGCTACACATGCCAAAGTTGCGGCGTTGGCGAGCTGCAGTTGGGGAGGGGCGTTGGCTAGCTCCGAGCGTGGTTGGCGGACCTTCCTCAGCCGCCCCCGCCTTTTGCTTGTCCGCAGTCTATTCGATTCAAACCAACCAGAGCGGCTGGCGTGAGGTGTCAACATTTTGGGTATCTCCGCTCTGTGCTATTGGCGTGGGCCTACGAACATTACATTAAATTTACTTTTCAAAGGCCAGCCTTCTCCAGTGGAAACAAACTGGTTCTTATCACCCTGGTTATGCCCTCACCTTGCCGTTAGCGGTAGTGCGCGGCAGTCTGCTGTAGACTAAATTAGAGCCTCAGGCAAATCGGTTTACCCGAGTCGTGCAAAGGCTGGTGGAACGCTACGAGGTGAGCTGAGCTACATGCCGAGGCGTGCTGCTTGTCGGCCTTTCTCGGTCTTGTGGCCATGTCAATCGCCGGGCATTCTGGCTGGGCGGTCACAAAGAGCCAGAGAGAGGCGCTGGAAGGTGGGTGTGGGCAATCGGTGGCCAACCCCCCCTTGACCCCTGGACTCGCTGACAAGCCAAAAGAAGCCTCGCACCCCCACATACCAAGCCTCGGGCAGCAATTACGTCTTCCTATCCCTCTGCGCGTTGCTCCACGAAGAACACAAACGATGGACCACGAGCGCCATTTCCCCTATTTTCCCTCTCTCGGTTCTCACATCTGACTCGGCGCAGGCCCCCTCCTGGCACAGATTGACCATGCTATAAAAGGGGCCCTTGCCGGCCTGCGGCTGGGCCTATTCTTGGTGCCTGTGCCCCTTCCCCTTGCCAATGCCGTGCTAACCCGGACCAGCCAGGGAATTTTAATCTAACCACTCTCTTTTCTTGTTGGCTGCCCCTGTCCCGCATTTTATGCATCCGCTTTTGTCCCTTGCTTGCGCCACCCCTTTTCTCTCTTTGCCTTTGCTTATTCGCCGTTGCTGACCAACATTGCATATCTCGTTTCTGCATTCTCGCTTTGCCAGACACCTGTAAAAATTACATAGCCTTGCTGCGAACTGCAAACATCGATCACCGTTCGGCGGAGGAATATTGCAATGGATCGGGACAGTTCCCTCCATGGCAGCAGGCAGCTCAACACAACCACTGCGTACCGGGATAATTCGGCTGCCAGCCCCAGCTCTAGCCGGAGCCCGAGCCCTGACGGCAGGCATAGTGGCAGCGAGAGCGCGGAGCATGCAGCGGCAGTTGGTTGTCGCTCAGAGCATATTGGAAGCGGCACATCCTCGGCTGCTTGCAGCGACAACGATGGCGACAACGTCCGCCGAGCGGACTCGGCACGGGGCTCATTCACTGCGTTATCTGCCGTCGTTATTCCTGGCAGCGATATCACGCAGGCCTCTTCGACCAGTGCTGCTGCCCACCAAGCCACCGATAATTTCTGGAAAGACGACTTGAGCAATCTACTGACGCCTCAAACCGTCATGGAGCAGGCCCAGGTGCAGCGGCGGAAGCGAAATCGCGAAGCAGCGCGCAGATCCCGGCTAAAGCAGAAGGAGCGCGAACGCGAGCTTGTTGAGCGCCAAACACAGCTATCTGAACGAATGCGGTTTCTGCAGCAAGAGGTTGAAGAGTGGCGGATAATCAACTCAACTGCTCCCAGAGCTACACAATCGCCGTCACAAACACTGACATTGCCCCTATCATCGCGGCTTATCGACCCCGAGCAAGTATTAGGCAAGGAGGACGGTGACCTGGCTGAAAATATCAACAACGTATACACGCTAACTGTGGAAACACTACACATTATTGCTGAATTGCAGCTGCAATTGGATGAAATCACTAAAGAACTTGATGAGATGATTGGCGATTCGACATCCCGCTAATAAAGCCCTACTAAACACAACTGCATTGCACATTCCCCACCCACCCTGTTCTGGTGTGGCGACGCCGCGCCAAAAACGACAGGGGAATATTGCTCGTGTGCCCTGTAGTAATTGTTGCTATTTATTTACCCCCAAGTTGCCCGCATATCGATTGTTGGGGGTGCACGATTGGCATATTCGTGTCACTCACGCATCTATTTTTCTTGTTTTTTGACCTGCTTGGTGACTCTATTCGAAGCATGTTTGGTCGTTCCGCCCATTAATAGTGCATGCTCGGCGTCGATCCATTGGCGGAATACCGCAATGCAAAAATATGTATACTATTCCGTGGCCATACCCAAAGGCTCGATTTACGCGAGAAAAATAGTGGTAGAGCCTATTATCCCTTCGATTGACTGGAACAAAGTCGTGCATTTCATTCAAAGTAAAAATAACGGAGGTGTGTCCTATGGCATTTTAACAAAGGCTAGCCCATGACATGCATCCGGATCGGCTCATTCAACTAGCCTGCTTATCTCGGAGAAACGCCATATTGTAAATCAGTAAATATGGCCCATGCATATTGCCACCAAAAGTACTACTTCATGCAATATCAGGTTGGAGATACGCCTACAAACCACATATTTTACCAATAAAGACGATGCGCTTTAAACCTGGACAAATGAATGCCTGTTGGTACAAATGTTGCTGACATTGCTGCATCGGCAAATTGGATAATAGCAGATAATCTAATATGTATAATATTCTCTCCCACCCAGCAGCAAGAATTAGGCAGCGAATCTTGTGTTCTAAATCCGCAATGGTCCAGTGGCTAGGATCTCACGCTCTCACCGTGATGGCCGGGGTTCAATTCCCCGTTGCGGAATCGTCTTTTTGCCCATCTGCCGTCGCTTTTTATGTGGCAGCCACGAATGCGCGAGCTCTTGCTTTTTGCATGCGCAATTGGCAAGCACCAGCGCACCCTAATGTTGTTTTTGTCTGACTGGCGCTATTCCTGCAATGGCACAAGGCGTTGTCGCGCGTAGAGCGAGCCCCAAAAACAAACGGAAAGGCACTGCTCTCTATTCCGTGTTACCAAGTCCCGTGCCTCCTCAAAAATATGCCGGGACCGAAAGTAAATACGCTGTCGCGGCCTTGCAGTATCTCTTGCCACACAATGAAACCACCCGGCAAAAAAGTCAAAAAGTCCGAAAACCCGGATTTGAACCAGGGACCTAGAGATAACTTTTAGCTGGAACGACCCAGCTCAACTACAGTCTCCCGCTCTACCGCTGAGCTATTTTCGGAACTTTTTATTTTATTTTTGGGCGATTATAGATCATAATTACTCGCTAGTTATTGAGCCATTGGGCTTTTTGGTTTTGAGTGGTTTTGAGCAGCTGTTCACAGAGCTTGGCTCATGCTCTAGCAGATTCGTTGCACGCTCTGGGCTATAGCGTACTTTGCTTTATTTGTTTTATTGTTCAATTGTGGCTTGTCTGTATGTCACTATGCTTTTGGCTCTAGCTTTCAAGCTAGCAGCAATTGTCCGCCTGCCATGATTGCAAATGGGTGCACTATTCCTATAATATTAATATCATGTATTTTTACATCACCATTGATACAACCCACTTGGACAAGTGTCAACCGTAGATTATATCTACTCACATATGGCAGCAAACTGACTTTAAAGCTGCCTTACAAAATTATTTGTTGTCTTCAGATACACTGGTTTCTAATACTGTATGATTGCAGACAAGCAACGCAGCTTAATCCGCATTAGAACAAACTTATTTAAATGATTGTATTTTAGCCTTGGTTCCAATAATATAATGTGAGACAGAGACTAGATTGCATAAATAATCCACTAGCTGTCAAGTAGTGACATAAGCAACACACACTAGATTAGCACGCAAAACTCCACGCTAAAGCTATGCTTTATTAAACAACACTGCCATTGCTCCATTGCCGCCATTCAATATATTATGATTGAAACCAC